CGGAAAGGTCTCGGAAGTGTCCTCACCTTCCCGCCGAGTGGCCAACGAGGACCACCTAGAAGGTTCCTAGAAGGTTCCTAGGAGGTTCCTAGGAGGTTCCTCAACGTCGCCGAGCGAGTGGTCGGCGAGGAAAACCTCGGGGAGAGGCTTGCTCGAGGCAGAAGCGGCGGAGGCGGCGGAGGCGGCGGAGGCAGAGGTGGCGGAGGCAGCAGAGGCGGCGGAGGCGGCGGAAGCGGCGGAGGCAGAGGAGGCGGCGGAGGCAGAGGCGGCGGCGGCGGAGGGGTCGAAGGCAGCAGAGGCGGCGGAGGCAGAAGCGGCGGAGGCAGAGGCGGCGGAGGCGGCAGAGGCGGCGGGGGCGGCGGAGGCAGAGGGAGAGGGGTCGGAGGCAGCGGCGGAGGTAGAGGCCGAAGCGGCGGAGGAGGCGGCGGAAGAAGCGGCGGCGGGAGAGGAAACGACGGAAGGGTCGGGCGTCGCAGCGGCGGCCGCCTCTGCCTAGTGATACGAGAGAAGAAAGACTGCGGCGTCGAACGCCAACACCCAACATGAGAACGGGCGGCCTTCGCCGAGCTCGCCTAGTGAGACGAGGAGGAAGAAGAAGTCTACCACGTGATCGGCACCACTCGAACCTCCGGCTGAGAGGCTGGGCCGCCTCTGCCCGCAGCAGCTCCGCGGCGTGGGAGGCTGCGGCGGCGGCCGAGTACGCGCTGAGACTGTGAGGGCGCGACGAGAGGCCGAAGCCTACAGGGCGGTGCCGAGAAGGTTCGCGGAACCTTCCAGGCCCCGCCAGCAGCCCGCCGCGGCTGGGCAAGCCTACAGGACGGTGCCGAGAAGGTTCACGGACGCCAACGCAGTCGTGCGGCGGTAGTGATCTCGGCTGTATCTCGGCTGCATCTCGCCTACGCGGTCGTGCGCCAACGCGAGCAGCGGCCTCCCAGACACCCCTCCCCCTCCGCCTCCGCCGTCGCTACCTTCGCCGCCGCCGCCGACGCCGCCGCCACCGCCACCACCATCGCCGCCGCCGCCGCCGCCGCCGCCGTTGCCGCCGTTGCCGCCGCCGCCGCCGCCGCCGCCACTGGACCGGCGAGCTCGCATCGCGGTGACAAGCGGCGCCTAGTGAACGCACTGACGACCGTTAATTCGTGGAGGGGCTGATGATTCATTCGTGCACCGCGAGCAGGAGGAGCGGCGCCCAGGTCAGCGCGTTGGATCCGAACCCGTGGCAGAGGTGCAGCAGCGCCTGGGGAGGTCTGGGGAGGTCTGACGAGATCTGGGGAGATCTGACGAGATCTGGGGAGATGAGGGGAGGCCGGGCGGGAGCTGCAGCAGCAGTAAGCAATGCGCGGCTGGAGGGAGCGTCGTACTGACGGGCGGTAATAGTGGCGGCCAACTAATAATAGTGCGCCGTGCGCGGTGCCGCCTCGCCGAGGGCGGCCGGGCCGCCCGCGTACGCCGGAAGCTCCTCGCGCAGGTAGTGCAGCTCCACCGCTTCGTCCGCACCGGAGGCGCCGGCGGCAGAGAAGAACCGCGAGTCAGGCAGCGCAGCCTGGCGGTGGCTGATGAGGCGCCGGTCGTGGAGCTGGAACCGGCGCGCCGCGCGCAGCGCGGCGAAAGTGACCACCGCGCGCAAAAGCCACGCCGTCGAGAAGACGGCTCGGGCGACAGGGAGGCTGCGCGAACCGGTGGTGGTGGCAGTCGCGGCGGCGGCAGCTGTGGCCGCTGCGGGCAGCGCGGCGGCGGCCGCAGCCGTGAGGAGGCGCTCCTTGCACTTGCTCGGTGGCGTGCAAGGGAGCGAGTCGGTAAGCGGCGAGCTCCAGGCCGCGACGCCGCTCGATGGCGCAGGGAATGTGGGACGCGGGCCGACCATTGATCGTGTGCGCGCGCCGCTCCTTTTTTTGAGCTTAGCCTTCGATCTAAGATATGGCCTTGCGTCGTCCGCCGTTTATCCCCGTGACGCCCAGAACTCGCGGACCCGAGGAGTCTCGAGCTTCAGCTGGCGATCCATCATGCCGCTCTCGGCACCGCAGCAGCGCGAGCGCCGCGCCGCGCAGCGCGCTGCCGAGGCTCAGGACGCGGCTCGCGGGCAGCGCAACCGCCCGGCGCCGAGCCGGTGCTAGGCCGCCTCCGCTGCGCCTGCTTCCTTGCGCGCCGCTGGACGTCGGCCGAGAAGACCGCTTCCCTCTGGGGACCCGACTCCGCGAAGATCGCGCGCGCGTCGTGAGTGGCGGCGCGCGCGCGATCTCCGTTCCCGGGCACGCCGGTCGCAGTGGCATGGGCTCCCAGGCTCAAAAGCGCTCCCGTCAACAGCGAGCGAGCGCCGCCGCTGCTCCTCCTCCCGCCGCCGCTCACCGAGACTCGGTGCCGCCGTTCTCGCCGCAGCCGCCGCCGCCGCCGCCGCCGCCGCCGCCGCCGCCGCCTCGCGCCTCGCCTCCGTCACCGCCGCCCTCCATCTCGCAGCGGCGCGTCCCTCTGATGGCGCGGGCGCCTCGCTCAACGGCGCCTCGCCGCCGCCCCCCCCCCTTTTTCCGGCCGCTCCCGCTCGTGGG